CTTACAAACTGTAGGTGGTCTACGACGTACGCAACGCATGTCCGTTGAGGAACATGTTGCTAGATTTTTGCATATTGTAAGTAATGATTTGCGAACTCGGTTTACCTCGTGGATGTATCTGGTGCACATGCTGAAACAGCGAAAGAAAGAAATGACCGATTAAATAAAAATGAAAAAATTCAAGTTGAAACAATTAAAGAAGTTGATGACTTGTTAGCTAACAATGAAATTCATTTGGAAAACGAATATGTTGATCTTGATGATGACATTCAGGGTGTTATTCTAACTCCGTTTTCACAAGGGCAGTCTTTAGGTGCAAAGAAGTGTAAGAGTAAAAAGAGGAAATTTGAAGAAGAAGAAGAAGAAGAACATTTTAACTCAAAGATAATGAAATCGGTTGATAATGTGGCTGGTGCTATCAGGGAGGGTAATATAATATTTGATAGAGCTTATCCTCGGGAGTATACAGGGGACGAAATTTATAGAGAATTGGAGTTGGTGGGTTTGGAACCCTATGAATTACCGAGGGCTCTAAATTTTTTGGCAGCAAATCAAGCAAAAGCTAGGACATTGTTCAGTTGTCCCCTTCAGATACAGATGAATGTCCTCAAAGATATGATGGATGCATGTGATTGAATAACCTTGGGTGATTGTTACTGGATTGATCTTATGGGTTTATGATTTTGTTTTTTTTTTTTTTAAGTTGTTTGTGGTTTTTGTTTTGCATCTTGAAAACAATTGAATAACATGCGGTTTTCCTTTTTTTAATGTTTTAAGTAGACGGGGAGGAGAGGAGAGTTGGTTATTGGGGGGTTAAGAATGGATGTGGGTTGTAAGCACTTAAAATATTTACTCAATAACATGAAGAGTATAATTGTCTTTTTTTTATTTTATTTTCTTTTACTTTGGAGTCGGGAGCACCTCAAATGAATACTTTCTTTTCCTTTCTTTCGAACTCAGCACGGAATACTTTCTTTTCCTTTCTTTCGAACTCAGCACGGAATACTTTATCCTTTCCGTTACCTTTCTTTTCTTTTTCTTCCTTTCCTTTCTTTTCTTTCCTTTAATGAACTCAGGAGCAGGGTGCAAGCTACAGACAGGTCGGAGAGGAAAACGAAGGAATCGCCAAGGTAGTCGGCGTCTGGTTGTGTCGAAGACTGATTCCTGTCGCTTCCGACATAAAGGCTTTTGGGTATCGATAGCAATCGAGGTTTGATTCCATTGCTGGCTCCATTTCTTCTCTTCCGTTTTCACTCTGTTCAACCTTCGAATTTCCCAGCCCCTGGGTGTTTTAGAGCATCTTTTTCTCATATTTTTACCGTTACGGAAGCAGGAAGACGCAATATCACCGCTTATACTTTCCATCGAAGGTTTAAATTGAAGTCCATTCTGTTGCGATGGTCAATCGATTCAAGGTTAGTGCTTAATTAGTTCTACCCTAGAAAGTGAGTTTCAGAATCGTCAGCGCCCACAAGCCCTAAAAGCACCCCACCGATCGATTTTGCTCCTTCTACTACTATGTTCTTCAATTTCATGTCCATCTTCCTCCTGTATCTTCTATTTCAGATGCGTACTCGATTCCCAACTTCGACGACAAATGGTTTTCCACCGTAACTATGTCGGCTTCAAGGTATGCTCTCTGTACTCTACTTTGTCTCTTCAGATCTTTCTCATATATGTTGGCCTGAAGTACAAATCATCTGAGAAAATCGATCAACTGAGGGTAAACGAGTACTCACATTTGACAGATACAATCTCAAAGGTATGTCTCCATTACTGCAGATTTCGGTTGTATTCGTTTCTTCAAACTGTTAACTACTGGGAATCTTAACTCTAGGGTTTACATTTTAGTTGATCATATTATCTTTGCTTTAAATTTTGAAAATTTTAGAATTTCTCTTCATTTATCTTCCTATTTTTTGTTATTATATTGCTAACGTATTTATGTTTTGACCTTTCAGTTTGTATGTTTGACCGGAAGAATTTGCTTTCTGATGGAGTTGGATCTCCTGTTCATAAATTTGAAGAACACAAACCTCCTGTTCTTTTTGTGTTCAGGTAGTATTCACTATTCAATTGTTTCTTGGTGTTGTGCAAATTTAGTTTTTCCTTTTCTTTTTAAATTATAAGCTTTGGTGTGTTGTATTTACAAGTCTTTGTATGTTGTAGTGGTGTCCAAACAGGCCTTATGTGTTTGGAAGTTCAACAGAGGATGGTTGTCTTAGTATTTGGGATTATGAACATGTAAAAAAAGTGAAAGATCATTGCTTTTTCTTGCATAACACGCTTTTTTTTGTTTAGTTTTAGTTTATGTTGACTTTATACATATTTGCTATTTATCTGATTCTCCCAAGTGATTTCAATTTGTAGTGCCTGCCCCTGCTGCTGTTGGTTTCCATTCCATCATAGGAATCAGTGCAGCTAAAGCTTCAGCCACATCTTTAGAGGTAACAAACACGAAATTTGTTGTAAGACTTAAGTTTTTTATTTAAAGCTTATCTGATTTCATAGAAATAATTTTTTTTTTTTGATATTTTTTCTACAGGTATATATTTTTCTACCTTTGTTGTAGATTTTGCTCCATCAAATCATCAAAATTGGAATTGTACAGTATGTAACTTTCCTCATGAAGAAAAAAAATCTCTCTTTTTTATTGCTATTTCTTGCTGATGATGAACATAACACATATTGCTTCCTTCTTTAACAAATGATCATAAAAGTTTTTACAGCTGTTCTACCTGTGATTCTTGAAGCCTTTGATGTATATTGTGAAGGTGATTTCAAATGGGGTTGTGGGTAAGATAAGATTTCGCAATTTGTGATTCCAAATGGATTATAAACCATAAACAATTATTTACTAACATTTTTTTCCTTGATTTTTTTTAAATGTATAGGTATCCTTACACGACTATTATTTTAAATTTAGGCTTACTATTGTGCTATTCACAATGTCTTCTACTGATCGATTTTCTCAGTTGACCATTAACGGCCTGAAGTACTCTACTTTTAATATTCTATAACATATCCCTTTGTAGTATTTTTTTGACATTGATTCATTAAGTAATAAAATAATTATTATTTTCTTTTCCGTTTCAAAACAGATAAAGTGCTTGCTGATCTTTTGGAGCCACTAATATGTGCAGTCTTCATCAAATATTCACAAAATTCAGGTTCTAATTTTCCAAAAATCTGTAATTATTTATCCATTAGACAAAGGTCTGAACTAGAGCTGATAAGTTCAGCTCATGCGCAGCCTGGAAGAAGTCTGCAGCTTGGTACATTAGATCTTCCTTCTTGCAGATCAACCCAAGGTTAAATGTACTTGAGAAACATATAAAGGACGTGATGTTTATATTAATAAAATTCAATTTTTACAGTTTTAGGACGATATTGCCCCTGAACACTGTTTTTATATTAATAAAAGTTAATTTTTATAGTTTTAGGACGACATTGCCCCTGCACACTGTCTTAATATTAAAAAGATAAATTTTTGCATTTTTAGGACCATATTGCCCCTGCACACTTTTTATATCGATAAAACCAATTTTTTTCAGATTCAAGACCACATTGCCCAGAAAAAATTGTCGTATCCGACCCCCGCAACCTAGTTATAGATTAATTATACTTAAGAGTTAGGAGCGCTTGGTTGGGTTAAAAATTAAAAATCTATAGATTTCTTTCTTTGTAGGCTTTGGCTTTAAAGATAAATACCGAAAATAATTATTGAATTTTCTTATTATGTAATTATTTAAACAGGTTGGTTTAATATCATCTAGCGTTTGATTGGGTGAAAAAATTATTATGTTGTTGACATAAATACCTTATGTCGGGAAACACAAAGCTTGAACCGAATCAATGGTATCATTTTAAAGGAATTTTAGTGTACCAATTTATTATAACATTAAAAATAATCTTTGAATTTTTTTATTATGTATGTTATTTTCGTCACACATGGGTTATAACCTAGTTTTTGTATAATAATACAAAATATTAATATATACTCTACTACTTTCGGTGCTTGCCCAGTGAAAATATAACAAATCGAAAAAAGAAAGAAAGCATATGTTTATGGGGAAAATGACTTAGGAGGGTAACTATCCCTTATCCGTGTTGACATATTGGAAACTTCTTCTTTTTTGTACATAAGAAAGCAACTAACTTGTTTTAACTGTTTAAATTACACCAATATTACC